AGATAGAACCTGATGTAGAGCAGATAGAACCTTATGTAGAGCAGATAGAACCTGCTGTAGAGCAGATAGAATCTGATGTAGAGCAGATAGAACCTGCTGTAGAGCAGATAGAACCTGCTGTAGAGCAGATAGAACCTGTTGTAGAGCAGATAGAACCTGATGTAGAGCAGATAGAACCTGATCTAGAGCAGATAGAACCTGGTATAGAGCAGATAGAACCTGGTATAGAGCAGATAGAACCTGATGTAGAGCAGATAGAACCTGATGTAGAGCAGATAGAACCTGGTATAGAGCAGATAGAACCTGGTATAGAGCAGATAGAACCTGGTATAGAGCAGATAGAACCTGATGTAGAGCAGATAGAACCTGATAATCAGACACTCTGAAGGGTCCAAACCCGGCAGCGCTGTGGCAGAACGAGCTGCTGCTCTTCCTCCGTGTTTCAGGCAGGAATGAAAGCATCAGACGTGACTCAAAGCCACAAACAGTCTCACTGAGCCACAGTGCGAGTTACAGCGTGTTGTTACTCTGTTTCATGGCCACGCCCTTTAACCCCGCTGGGTGGTGATGTCAGACCACCTCCGCCCACCGTGCTTCACCATCTGTCTGCGTCTGTCTGAGACGCAGTTGTCCAGTTTGGATTTAAACTAATATCACTGTGATGTAAAAATACTAACATGTTGCAGCCTGAAGTCTCCTGGGCTCCGTTCCATCAGTGGATTCATCAGTGGTTCCATCAGTGGTTCCATCAGTGGATCCATCAGTGGTTCCATCAGTGGTTCCATCAGTGGTTCCATCAGTGGTTTCATCAGTGGATCCATCAGTGGTTCCATCAGTGGTTCCATCAGTGGTTCCATCAGTGGTTTCATCAGTGGATCCATCAGTGGTTCCATCAGTGGATCCATCAGTGGTTCCATCAGTGGTTTCATCAGTGGTTCCATCAGTGGTTCCATCAGTGGTTCCATCAGTGGTTTCATCAGTGGATCCATCAGTGGTTCCATCAGTGGTTCCATCAGTGGATCCATCAGTGGTTCCATCAGTGGTTCCATCAGTGGTTCCATCAGTGGTTCCATCAGTGGATCCATCAGTGGTTCCATCAGTGGTTCCATCAGTGGATCCATCAGTGGATCCATCAGTGGTTTCATCAGTGGTTTCATCAGTGGTTCCATCGGTGGATCCATCAGTGGATCCATCGGTGGATCCATCAGTGGTTCCATCGGTGGTTTCATCAGTGGTTCCATCGGTGGTTTCATCAGTGGTTTCATCGGTGGTTCCATCAGTGGATCCATCGGTGGTTCCATCAGTGGATCCATCGGTGGATCCATCAGTGGTTCCATCGGTGGTTTCATCAGTGGTTCCATCGGTGGTTCCATCAGTGGATCCATCGGTGGATCCATCAGTGGATCCATCGGTGGTTCCATCAGTGGATCCATCGGTGGATCCATCAGTGGATCCATCGGTGGTTTCATCAGTGGTTCCATCGGTGGTTTCATCAGTGGTTCCATCGGTGGATCCATCAGTGGTTCCATCGGTGGTTTCATCAGTGGATCCATCGGTGGTTCCATCAGTGGTTCCATCGGTGGATCCATCAGTGGTTCCATCGGTGGTTTCATCAGTGGTTCCATCGGTGGTTTCATCAGTGGTTCCATCGGTGGTTTCATCAGTGGTTCCATCAGTGGTTTCATCAGTGGTTTCATCAGTGGTTCCATCAGTGGTTTCATCAGTGGTTCCATCAGTGGTTCCATCAGTGGATCCATCAGTGGATCCATCAGTGGTTCCATCAGTGGTTTCATCAGTGGTTCCATCAGTGGTTCCATCAGTGGTTTCATCAGTGGTTCCATCAGTTGATCCATCAGTGTATCCATCAGTGGTTCCATCAGTGGTTCCATCAGTGGATCCATCAGTGGTTCCATCAGTGGTTTCATCAGTGGTTCCATCAGTGGTTCCATCAGTGGTTTCATCAGTGGTTCTATCAGCTGATCCATCAGTGGATCCATCAGTGGATCCATCAGTGGTTTCATCAGTGGTCCCATCAGTGGTTTCATCAGTGGATCCTTCAGTGGTTCCATCAGTGGTTTCATCAGTGGTTCCATCAGTGGTTCCATCAGTGGATCCATCAGTGGTTCCATCAGTGGTTCCATCAGTGGATCCATCAGTGGTTCCATCAGTGGTTCCATCAGTGGATCCATCAGTGGTTCCATCAGTGGATCCATCAGTGGTTTCATCAGTGGTCCCATCAGTGGTTTCATCAGTGGATCCTTCAGTGGTTCCATCAGTGGTTCCATCAGTGGTTTCATCAGTGGTTCCATCAGTGGTTCCATCAGTGGATCCATCAGTGGTTCCATCAGTGGTTCCATCAGTGGATCCATCAGTGGTTCCATCAGTGGTTCCATCAGTGGTTCCATCAGTGGTTTCATCAGTGGTTCCATCAGTGGATCCATCAGTGGTTCCATCAGTGGTTCCATCAGTGGTTTCATCAGTGGTTCTATCAGCTGATCCATCAGTGGATCCATCAGTGGATCCATCAGTGGTTTCATCAGTGGTCCCATCAGTGGTTTCATCAGTGGATCCTTCAGTGGTTCCATCAGTGGTTTCATCAGTGGTTCCATCAGTGGTTCCATCAGTGGATCCATCAGTGGTTCCATCAGTGGTTCCATCAGTGGATCCATCAGTGGTTCCATCAGTGGTTCCATCAGTGGATCCATCAGTGGTTCCATCAGTGGATCCATCAGTGGTTCCATCAGTGGATCCATCAGTGGTTCCATCAGTGGATCCATCAGGGGTTCCATCAGTGGATCCATCAGTGGATCCATCAGTGGTTCCATCAGTGGATCCATCAGTGGATCCATCAGTGGTTCCATCAGTGGATCCATCAGTGGATCCATCAGTGGTTCCATCAGTGGTTCCATCAGTGGATCCATCAGTGGTTCCATCAGTGGATCCATCAGTGGTTCCATCAGTGGTTCCATCAGTGGATCCATCAGTGGATCCATCAGTGGTTCCATCAGTGGTTCCATCAGTGGTTCCATCAGTGGATCCATCAGTGGATCCATTAGTGGTTCCATCAGTGGTTCCATCAGTTGATCCATCAGTGGTTCCATCAGTGGTTCCATCAGTGGTTCCATCAGTGGTTCCATCAGTGGATCCATCAGTGGATCCATCAGTGGTTCCATCAGTGGATCCATCAGTGGTTCCATCAGTGGTTCCATCAGTTGATCCATCATTGGTTTCATCAGTGGTTCCATCAGTGGTTCCATCAGTGGTTCCATCAGTGGATCCATCAGTGGTTCCATCAGTGGATCCATCAGTGGATCCATCAGTGGTTCCATCAGTGGATCCATCAGTGGATCCATCAGTGGTTCCATCAGTGGTTCCATCAGTTGATCCATCAGTGGTTCCATCAGTGGATCCATCAGTGGATCCATCAGTGGTTCCATCAGTGGATCCATCAGTGGTTCCATCAGTGGATCCATCAGTGGTTCCATCAGTGGATCATAGATCTCCACCTCACGGAGCTGCTGCTTTAATCCAGACGCTGCTCCATCTGCGGTGGTTCAGAGAGCTGAGAGAAAAGGCAAAGATCTGGTTTAGCGCTCGTTCTACGTTCCTACGCTCACCTCTAATCATTAATCTGGATCAGGACCCAAACAACCAGATCCTGGATCCCAGCTTCCTCTGCAGGGAGGCTGCGCTCTGCCTCACAGAGAGGGTGAGGAGCTGGGTTATAAGGGAGAGGATCAGAGTAGAGCTGCTTCTCCTCCTCATCCAGAGGAGTCAGCTGAGGAGGATCAGACATCTTTATCTGATGGACGCCTCCCTCTGAGGGGTTCTAGGGACGTCCCACCAGGAGGAGGACGAGGACACCATGGAAAGACTTAATAGTAATAATAATAAGAATAATAAATGAACCTTATTGATCTTTTCCAATGCGACCTGTGTGATGATGTGATGATGATGTGATCATGACTGTGTGATGACTGTGACTCAGGACCACTTCAAAGAGTTGTGAGCCCAGTTGGTGAGCAGCTGCCTTCTGTAACTCTAAGCAACTTCTCTGATCTGAGTAAGATTACAATCTCTATCATAATCTGTCATGGCAGATGGTTACTTATTACATAAACATGATGAAGTGTTAATTAAAGAGTATGTCCTGATTGATCTCTGCTCAAGAAAAAGAAACGGAGACAGAAAAGCTTCAAGGTGGAAACAGAGCTTTCCTTTAAAAGCATCGGAGCACTGGTTAGCATTGGAGAACTGGTTAGCATTGGAGAACTGGTTAGCATTGGGCCACTGGTTAGCATTGGTTCAATAGTTAGCATTGGTTCAATGGATATCATTGGTTCAATGGTTATCATTGGGTCACTGGTTAGGATTGGGTCACTGGTTATCCATGGATCACAGGTTAGCATGGGTCGCTGGTTAGCACTGGGTCACTGGTTAGCATTGGGTTACTGGTTAGCATTGGGCCACTGGTTAGCATTGGTTCAATGCTTATCATTGGGTCACTGGTTAGCATTGGGTCACTGTTTATCATTGGGTCACTGGTTAGCATTGGTTCAATGCTTATCATTGGGTCATTTGTTAGCATTGGGTCACTGCTTATCATTGGGTCACTGGTTAGCATTGGTTCAATGCTTATCATTGGATCATTTGTTAGCATTGGGTCACTGCTTATCATTGGGTCACTGGTTAGCATTGGTTCAATGCTTATCATTGGGTCACTTGTTAGCATTGGGTCACTGCTTATCATTGAGTCACTGGTTAGCATTGGGTCACTGCTTATCATTGGGTCACTGGTTAGCATTGGGTAACTGCTTATCATTGGGTAACTGGTTATCATTGGGTCACTGCTTATCATTGGGTCACTGGTTAGCTTTGGGTCACTGCTTATCATTGGGTCACTGGTTAGCATTGGGTCACTGCTTATCATTGGGTCACTGGTTAGCATTGGTTCAATGCTTATCATTGGGTCACTGGTTAGCATTGGGTCACTGCTTATCATTGGGTCACTGAGACAGAAAAGCTTCAAGGTGGAAACAGAGCTTTCCTTTAAAAGCATTGGAGCACTGGTTAGCATTGGAGCACTGGTTAGCATTGGAGAACTGGTTAGCATTGGGCCACTGGTTAGCATGGGTCGCTGGTTAGCATGGGGCCACTGGTTAGCATTGGTTTAATGCTTATCATTGGGTCACTGGTTAGCATTGGGTCACTGCTTATCATTGGGTCACTGAGACAGAAAAGCTTCAAGGTGGAAACAGAGCTTTCCTTTAAAAGCATTGGAGCACTGGTTAGCATTGGAGCACTGGTTATCATTGGAGAACTGGTTAGCATTGGGCCACTGGTTAGCATGGGTCGCTGGTAAGCATGGGGCCACTGGTTAGCATTGGTTCAATGGATATCATTGGTTCAATGGTTATCACTGGGTCACTGGTTAGCATTGGGTCAATAGTTAGCATTTGGCCACTGGTTAGCATTGGTTCAATAGTTAGCCTTGGTTCAATGGATATCATTGGTTCAATGGTTATCATTGGGTCACTGGTTATCATTGGGTCACTGGTTAGCATTGGGTCATTGGTTAGCATTAGGCCACTGGTTAGCATTGGTTCAATAGTTAGAATTGGTTCAATGGTTATCACTGGGTCACTGGTTAGCATTGGTTCAATGGATATCATTGGTTCAATGGTTATCACTGGGTCACTGGTTAGCATTGGGTCACTGGTTATCATTGGGCCACTGGTTAGCATTGGTTCAATAGTTAGAATTGGTTCAATGGTTATCATTGGGTCACTGGTTAGCATTTGTTCAATGGTTATCATTGGGTCACTGGTTAGCATTGGGTCACTGGTTAGCATTGTGCCACTGGTTAGCATTGGTTCAATGGTTAGCATTTGTTCAATGGTTATCATTGGTTCAATGGTTATCATTGTGCCACTGGTTAGCATTGGGTCACTGGTTAGCATTGGGTCATTGGTTAGCATTGTGCCACTGGTTAGCATTGGTTCAATGGTTAGCATTGGGTCACTGGTTAAAAAGAAAATTAAAGAAAATGAAAAAGAGAGATCATATCTCTCCTATCCTGGCTTCTCTTCATTGGCTTCCTGTTAAATCCAGAATAGAATTTAAAATCCTCCTTCGCACATATAAAGCCTTAAATGGCCAAGCTCCATCTGATATCAGAGATCTGATTGTTCCTTATGTTCCTAACAGAGCACTTCGCTCTCAATCTGCAGGTTTACTAGTGGTTCCTAGAACTTCTAAAAGTAGAATGGGAGGCAGATCTTTTAGTTATCAGGCTCCTCTCCTGTGGAACCAACTACCAGTTTTAGTCCGTGAGGCAGACACCCTGTCTACTTTTAAGGCTAGGCTTAAAACTTTCCTTTTTGATAAAGCTTCTAGTTAGAGTGGCTCAGGTTATCCTGAGCTATCTCTATAGTTATGCTGCTATAGGCTTAGACTGCTGGAGGACATAGGGACCCCTTTTTCATCATTCTGCTTCATTCTATCTCTATTCTCCTATTCTGCAGAATCTGTTAGTTCAATCTCTAACCTTCTGCTCTCTCTGCTTTTCCTCAGAGTAGCTTTGCCTCGTCTGTTCCTGTTTGGCTGTGACGTCATCCTGGAAAGAAACATCAGCTGTGCTGCTTCCATCAACACCCTTGTTTATAGATGTTGGAGATCGGCCTGTTTTCCAGTGTAGTCCTGTTTCTCTGACCGTGACTGAGTGGATGTGCTCTCTTCGTCCTCTGGCATGGGAGCTGCCTTGGAGCTCGTCTGCCTGGCTGTGTGTTTCCTGGACGGGGCCGCCTTTTACAGCTGCTTTTTGTATCTCTGCTTCTGTCTCCTTGAACCCCAGTCGGCCTCGGCAGATGGCCGCTCACACTGAGCCTGGTTCTGCTGGAGGTTTCTTCCTGTTCAAAGGGAGTTTTTCCTCTCCACTGTCGCTACAAGCATGCTTAGTGTGGGGGATTGTATTTGAGTCAATGAGTCGATGCAATCAGCTGGTTTTCCTTAGATAGAAAACTTTGTATCGATTTGACTGTATGATCTGGTTGAACTGTAAAGTGCCTTGAGATGACATGTGTTGTGAATTTGGCGCTATATAAATAAACTGAATTGAATTAAATTGGTTAGCATTGGGTCATTGGTTAGCATTGGGCCACTGGTTAGCATTGGTTCAATGGATATCATTGGTTCAATGGTTATCATTGGGACACTGGTTAGCATTGGGTCACTGGTTAGCATTGTGCCACTGGTTAGCATTGGTTCAATGGTTAGCATTGGGTCACTGGTTGGCATTGGGTCACTGGTTAGCATTAGGCCACTGGTTAGCATTGGTTCAATGGATATCATTGGTTCAATGGTTAGCATTGGGTCACTGGTTAGCATTAGGCCACTGGTTAGCATTGGTTCAATGGATATCATTGGGTCACTGGTTAGCATTGGGTCACTGGTTAGCATTGGGTTACTGGTTAGCATTGGGTCACTGGTTAGCATTGGGTCACTGGTTAGCATTGGTTCAATGGTTAGCATTGGTTCAATGGTTAGCATTGGTTCAATGGTTAGCATTGGGTCACTGGTTAGCATTGGGTCACTGCTTATCATTGGGTCACTGGTTAGCATTGGGTCACTGCTTATCATTGGGTCACTGGTTAGCATTGGGTTACTGGTTAGCATTGGGTCACTGGTTAGCATTGGTTCAATGGTTAGCATTGGGTCACTGGTTAGCATTGGGTCACTGGTTAGCATTGGGTCACTGCTTATCATTGGGTCACTGGTTAGCATTGGGTCACTGGTTATCATTGGGTCACTGGTTAGCATTGGGTCACTGGTTATCATTGGGTCACTGGTTAGCATTGGGTCACTGCTTATCATTGGGTCACTGGTTAGCATTGGGTCACTGCTTATCATTGGGTCACTGGTTAGCATTGGGTTACTGGTTAGCATTGGGTCACTGGTTAGCATTGGTTCAATGGTTAGCATTGGGTCACTGGTTAGCATTGGGTCACTGGTTAGCATTGGGTCACTGGTTATCATTGGGTCACTGGTTAGCATTGGGTCACTGCTTATCATTGGGTCACTGGTTAGCATGGGTCAATGGTTATCATTGGGTCACTGCTTATCATTGGGTCACTGGTTAGCATTGGGTCACTGCTTATCATTGGGTCACTGGTTAGCATTGGGTCACTGCTTATCATTGGGTCACTGGTTAGCATTGGGTCACTGGTTAGCATGGGTCAATGGTTATCATTGGGTCACTGGTTAGCATTGGGTCACTGGTTAGCATTGGGTCACTGCTTATCATTGGGTTACTGCTTATCATTGGGTCAATGGTTATCATTGGGTCACTGGTTAGCATTGGGTCACTGGTTAGCATTGGGTCACTGCTTATCATTGGGTCACTGGTTAGCATTGGGTCACTGCTTATCATTGGGTCACTGCTTATCATTGGGTCACTGGTTAGCATTGGGTCACTGGTTAGCATGGGTCAATGGTTATCATTGGGTCACTGGTTAGCATTGGGTCACTGGTTAGCATTGGGTCACTGGTTAGCATTGGGTCACTGCTTATCATTGGGTTACTGCTTATCATTGGGTCAATGGTTATCATTGGGTCACTGGTTAGCATTGGGTCACTGGTTAGCATTGGGTCACTGGTTAGCATGGGTCAATGGTTATCATTGGGTTACTGGTTATCGTTGGGTCAGTTAGCAGAGGGTTACTGGAGGAGGCAGAGCTTGATGGTTATATATTTATTTCTCTTGAGCTTTTCTGAACTTTCATTCTTGTCTTTCTGTGAAAGTTAGACGTTAGCAGTTCAGTTCTTTATTTAGATATTTGGAGAAACAGAAATTCCTCCTTTGGGTTGAAACCAGGAAAATAATTTCTACGAACACAAATTCAGTTGTTCATCTTTTTATTGCTTTATTTTTAACTGTTGACATATTTTCTAAAAATAAATTCAACTTCCATCTTCATTATTTTGTTGTCTTTCATGAAAAAAAAATAAATGTTTGTTGTTGATTCCCTAACAGGAATTAAAAAAGCATTTTGATGCCACTCAGACTTTTCCAGATCTGCTTCCAAACCTTCAAAGAAGAATCAGTTTTTAGATTTTTGTTTTCTTTCAGCTTCAGACTTCTGGCGTGTTTTGGTGGGAGGGCTATGGAGAGATATTTGTGCCTTCGGTTTGAGCGGGCAGGAACCAATCCGAGCTCGCGGTAACACCTGCACATCAAAACCGGTCTGGCACGCGCTCAACTCTGAAAAACGCTTCTGAACACACTGCGGTCGCGCTCAGTTCCATCTCTGTTCGCGATCGACGCCAGCTGTGCGCTCGGCTCTGAATGAATTCTTGCGAATTCATAAATGTATGTAAATAAACCACAATCAGCCCATCAGCTTTTTTTCATCCAATCAAAGTGTTTGTTCCAAATACTACATCCGGTTAAATGAAAAAATAAAAGTCAGGAAATAAAATAAACTCTTTTAGTTTTGGGGTCAACATTCAATTTGTTGGACAGCAGATAGTCTTATAAAATATCTTGAATTATCTCAAGTAAATGTCAGTAAAACAGTTATTAGATCATTACGTCATCCATCTTTTTTTGCCTGCTATTGATTTAATTTTGCTGTTTAAACAGATTCAAGTACGGTTCAACACTATTTAGATAAAAATATGGGAAATCTTTAGGGATGCTTCAAAATATTCCAATATTAGGAACAGTGTTTCGTTTTAGTTACAGAATTAAATTTTAAATCAGGTAAAAGAATCAGTGATGGATTCAGCCTCCAAAGGAGAAATGTTTGACCTTAGAATAGACTGAAGAAATTGTTCCATTAAGAAATGTAATTAGCTCTGATTCTAGTTCAGCGTTTTATTCATTAAAACACAAACATTCAGTCAGCAGACAGCAGGATGTATTGGTTTAGATCCCCATCCAGTTGTTTGCCAGCCGCCACATTTACAGACATGTAGGAATTTGCGAGCTCAGAGAGTCGAGCGCACAGCTGGTATGGAGCAGGTGGAGCGCCAGCAGAGACTGATTTTTATTTTATTTTCATTTAACCGGATGTAGTATTTGGAACAAACACTTTGATTGGATGAAAAAAAGCTGATAGGCTGATTGTGGTTTATTTACATACATTTAGGAATCTGCGAGAATTCGGACAGAGCCGAGCGCACAGCTGGTGTCGATCGCGAACAGAGAAGGAACCGAGCGCGACCGCAGTGTGATGAGAAGAGTTTCAGAGTTGAGCTTGTGTTGTGTCACTGCGCGCTCGGATTGGTTCCTGTGAGCTCAAAACGAGGCACAAATATCTCTTCGTAGAGGGGCGGGGCCAGCCCAGGCTAGAAGCTGCATTCAGGGACCGTGGGAAGATGGATGCAGCTTACATGAAAACACAGCACTGAACACTGAAAAGTCCCTTTTGGAGATTTCCCAATAATTTTCCTCGGTTCTTGTGGTTAAAACATAAAAATGAACATTTTATTATATTTGATTTAATAAAAATACTTCAATTAAAAATCTAGTTTTTCTTTTAAACAAACGTTTATTTTTGAGGTATAATTCTGTTTAACAAACTTTAAGCCCAAATTTAGTTCCGTATATTTGAGCCTCCATCATTTCTCCTCCTCATCATCATCATCATCCCAGCCGTCCCCTCAGACCTTCATCACCTGTCTGAGCAACATCTGCTGCAGCTGGAACCTGATTGGTTGGTTCAGACGGCTGCTCTTGGTCAAGTTCTTCACTGTGAGCTCTGGACTTCGCATCACCATGGCTCCCTGCTGCCCCCTGCTGGGCAGGGACCACATTTTTACTCCCCCTTGATTCTTCAAGCAAAAGGTTTATGTTTAATTTTTGACATCATAGGAAGCAGCCAATCACTGAGGAGGAAAATCTCCTTTCCCCCCAGGATCAGGACGCCCTGAAATAAAACCCAGATGATTCTGGTTCTGGTCCCTTCAAATATCCGACAACAGGAGGAACCAACAGACGGGTCAGGGATCAGGTTCTGGTTCTGATCAAATCCAGCTTAGGTTCCAGAACCTCTTCCAGAGTCCAGTGAACCCATAATAGAGGACCACGGTGGTTCTGGAGGAGCTGCTGCTGTTCAGGAGGTGGTCTGAACTTATTTCAAGTTTCCCAAGAGAAGCATGGTGGAGGCAGCGGCATGCTGCGGGGAAGCTGCTGGATGGAGCTTAATCCAGAACCGTGCTGGAAGAGAACCTGTTAGAGGCTGCAGAAGACTAGAGCCGGCCTAGTCAAAGGCCAGATCCTCCATTTTCTAAAGGTTCTGTAGATGTTTTCACGCCCACCCAGTCTCTACAAGGTTCTGACCCGGGAAGGTCCGTCTGGTTTGGGTTCCTGGTGAGAATGAAGCCCCTAAAAGCTCCTCGGATCCAAATGTTAATCTGAGGGAACCTCCTGGCTTCAGTTCTGACCCGTCAGCGTGTGCTGGATGTCTTTGTGTAGAATCCGTGGCTGAGCGGTTCCGGCCCGGTTCTGGGCCCGCGACCCGCGGCCTTCAGCCTCTTCAGCTGCCTCTCCTGTCGGCGGCATTTCTGCTGCGCCGTCTTCAGTTTCTTCCTCAGCAGCTCCAGCTGCTCCTCCAGCTGCTCCATGCGCCTCTTCTGCTGCGCCGAGTCCTCCGCCGTGTAGTTGTGGTCACAGCACACCGCTGCCGAGTCACAGCGGGCATCTGCCGGGCCGCCGTTGGGCTCCTCTGCGGATGCCGGGTCAGAGGTCACGGGGAGGGCGTAGTGGACCTCTGAGGGGAACGGCTTCTCCAGAGAGTCTGTCTGAAGGACAGAGAACATGGAGATGGTCTTTAGACCCCACATCAACCTAGCATGGAGAACAGCAGCCATTTTGAAGAGGTCAAACAGCAGAAGGTCCCTGAGCTCCCTGCAGCAGGTTTTGTTATGGTGTTGAGGTCAGAGGTCATGTGATCAACTTATTACTGATTAGCACAGTGCGCTATTTCTGCAGCGTCGGGCGCCGTTTGAACGGTTCTGGTTCTGATGGATCGTCATTTCGGATTCTTTAATAAGAATCAGAAACATTTCCATTGTATCAATTTAACCTCCTGTTATTAATCGTCTCTAGAAAATAATTAATTACTTTTTCCATTTAGTGGAGGAAAAATGCAAATAAAACAATCAAACCTCCATCAGAGCCTGCGCTGCTTTACGCTATGCAGAGCAGATTGGCTAACGGTTATTACGGGAAGAAGAACTTGTTAGCATGCTGTGCATAGAAACAGCTGTTAGCTAGCTGGTTAGCAGCTGTTAGCTGGTTAGCAGCTGTTAGCTTGTTAGCATGCTTAGCATAGAAACAGCTGTTAGCTAGCTGTTTAGCAGCTGTTAGCTGGTTAGCAGCTGTTAGCTTGTTAGCATACTTAGAATAGAAACAGCTATTAGCTAGCTGGTTAGCAGCTGTTAGCTAGCTGGTTAGCTGGTTAGCAGCTGTTAGCTTGTTAGCATGCTTAGCATAGAAACAGCTGTTAGCTAGCTGTTTAGCAGCTGTTAGCTGGTTAGCAGCTGTTAGCTTGTTAGCATGCTTAGCATAGAAACAGCTGTTAGCTAGCTGGTTAGCAGCTGTTAGCTGGTTAGCAGCTGTTAGCTAGCTGGTTAGCAGCTGTTAGCTTGTTAGCATGCTTAGCATAGAAACAGCTGTTAGCTAGCTGGTTAGCAGCTGTTAGCTGGTGGTAGAGTATAGATGAGACTTCAGACGAGGAAGCTGGTTATCAGCAGCGGTCTTAGCTGCCCTGTGATGGTGGTGGGGGGGGTTTAATCGGTTCATTGATCTGAACTGGGCTGATCAGTGGGATTAATGTTTGCTTTGTTCCCAAGTTAATAAAAAAGGCTTTGATGTGTTTGTTTTACTAAAGATGAGGAAATAGACTCAGATTAAATGAACCAGAATGACTGAAATCTCCTTATAAGGAGCTAATCTGGTTCAGTGGATCTCCAGGATCAACAAGGTTCATCTAAAGATGTTTTTACAACTGATCTGTGACCTTTAGTTTATATCTGCAAATTAGGGTTTTCACGATACTAAACTTTTCAACTCGATACCGATACTAAGGAAAATATTCGATACTCTATACCATTTTCGATACCACAAGGATAAAAACAAAGACTCCAAAAGTCTACAGAAATATTTTCATTAATAAATAAAATACAATAAATAAACACAATAAAGGTTGTATGCTGTGCATAATATTAAGCAAGCTTGATAAAAAACTTAGAAAATTCAAATTAAGTGTTCCTTACTTAACTATGCTTTGCACACATAACAATGACACCAGCCAAACCAGTTAAACAAACAAAAATAATTCTCAGCAGCTGCACCTCTTACAAAAAAAAGTCTGAAACTGAAAAGTGCGTAGAATTATTCAATCACACAGTGTTCAGAAAGTGCATTGTCCTCTATTCTGCACTTTAGATGAATGACTGCTTAGGTGCCACTGGTGACGGCACTGTATCGATACTTTTAAAAACGAGTATTGTATCCGGATACAACATTTCAGTATCGATACTTTTTTGAGTTTCGATACTTTTGACAACCCTACTGCAGATAGTTAGTTATTGTCAGTAGAGTTATAGGTTGTGTGGTTGTTTTATGGTTGTGATTTCTGAGCATAGACTTCCAGGCTTAGATCTACTTTTCTACCACTCAGTTTGGATCTATGAAAGTTCCTCATTCTAGAAAATAAGAGGCAGTAAAAGGAAAACTGAAAGAAAAGAAGACAGAGGAGACTGAATGACCGATTGGCACCAATAAACACAATCGATTGATTAATTTGACTAATCTTAGGAAATACTAACAGTACGGAGAAGAACATTCCTGGATTTAACACTTGATTTTAGTTGTTTAAATATTAATAAATATATGAAAATGGCTGAAAGCATCTCTGTCTCTGTTTCCTGTTTTAATTTTGATGAAATGTATTTATTTTTATCTCTCAGCTGGAAATGTCACCAGACTGGATTTCAGGAATCTGCTCACCTCAGTCTGCTCTGATGCATGCTGGGTAATGAGGGAGGGGCTAGAACGACATCACGGACAGGTCCATTCTGAGGACAGATCATGACACGGGGACTCGGACACGATGACGCACAAGTGCACAGATTGAGAAACGGCCAAACAGATGGCTGCTGATTCTTCTTCGCTGGTATTTGAAAGCGGTCGGCAGACCGGGCGTCTAAACTACGAGCTGAAGATTGAAAAACTGGGAGAATTAAAGTTTGGAACTGGTTCTAATCAAGACGAACCAAATGATCCGGAGGAACCAGACGTGATTAAAATGCTAGATCATCACTTTATATAGTTTAGTGCATCAAATATGAGTAAAGCTGCCGTAGTCATTGAATAATCGTCTATTTCTTTATTTGTCTTAATATTGAGATTAGCTCTATGTGTAAAACCTGAACATGGATGTCATTATTTAGTCGTTATTATTTTACATTTATGCTTCTTTAACATTTCATACATTTGTGTGCAGATATAGATACGCACCGATAGATATCATCAATTAGAAATATCTTAAATGTGTTATTGGCTCCGTGTTTCGCCGGATTAGAAACGCCGATATTTGATGATCGAAGGTTGTGGTTCCGACACGGATCCATGATGGACGCCTTCGTAGAACGCCTTCACAACAGGGAGGGACATTCAGTTCGCCTCTTCCAGCTGATTGGGTCCCTCTCAGCCAATCACAGAAGCAGCAGCTGAGACGTTGCTTCAGCCTCTGGGTGACATGATGATGTCATACAAATCCCTGCATTTCATTGGTCAGAAACATTTATGCACCGCGGCGCAGCGACGCCTGTCAGTTTATTTCTATAGCTCCAATTCAATTCATGTGATTCAGGTCACTTTATAGAGACGATTCAACCAGATCAGGTCAAAGTTTTAAAGGTGTTTCGGGTTAGAGAGGTCTGGATCTCAGGTATTCATCATGATCCAAAGGATCTTCTCTCAATCTGCGCTCGGACTTTTATTTCTTATGCAGATGTTTATTTTTAGCTTCATGAATCAATTATAGAATAAAGCGGTGAATAGAGGTGTGTGAAGACATTAGACAGGAGAGAAAATCTATAAATAAATTAAAATCTCTTCAACTTGTTGAGAAAATATTTAGTTTTTCGGTTCTTTTGTTAAAGATATTTTTCCTCTGAATGAAATCAGGTTTTCAATCAAATGAGACGTCACTGTTTCCTAACAGCTGATTGGCTGCTGAGTGGAACTAGCCTCCCCCCCCCCCCCCCCCCCCCCCCGGGCAGGCTAGCCGTCCAGGGCAGGGTACCATGGTAACCAGAGTTAAACCTGAAGTTCTCTGGCTAACCCAGTAATCCTGCTGATTTGTTCTGCCATCCAAGGAGGCGGAGTCATAGTGTCACGTGATTAGCTGAGGTCAGCTCCGCTTCCTCTATCGGCAGTAGGAGTGCATGAGCATCTACTCTTTATATGTCTATGCTAACGACAGTTAGCAGTAAAGAGCCAAAATGACTAGAGATGGACTGATTTTTTCCTCCATGATAGAAATGTTAGCAGAACCTGATCTCCAGGCAGACCAGGTTCCTGAGGACGGATCCGGGTCTGACCTCTGACCTTTATGCTGAGGCTGAAGCCAAACAGGGAGGGGACGGCGTTCTCCTTCAGAACGCGGTTGTTGCATTCCCTCTTGAAGCAGTCCTGGGTGAAGTGCTGCGAGCAGATGTTGCTGTACTTAGTGGGCCTGAAGTTGCTCCTCCTCATGGCGGCGACCCACTTACTGCAGACATCTGGGCGGGCCAGCGGGAACCTG